GATTATATATAAGAACAGATATTTTAGAATTTAACTTTCTAACTCTAAAAATGAAAATTATGTTATCTTTAAACCTTGTATGAAAAATTCATGTAGAATCTGCATGTTCTCTCTTATATTTTCTCTGAAACGCTGTTTTGTGAGGCAAGAAGAAAACAAGGGGGCACCCGGATTTGAACCGGGGACCTCTTGATCTGCAGTCAAATGCTCTACCACTGAGCTATACCCCCAGTTACAGTATTCTTTGACACTTCTTAATTTGTCATATTTCCTCTGTCCGTGGTAGATACGTTGATTTGAAAACATTTTTTCTTATACGTGAAAATTAAAAAAAATATTTCCTACCATTTAAAGTACAATAACTGATGTATTCATGTATTTCTCTGGTACTTCAGCGTTTAGCTTTTTAGCATGATGCTAAAGCTCACACCGGATGTGACGTACACACAAGCGGAAACAACTGTGTCAAAAAGAAAGCGTAAGAAACGGAATCACAATGGTACGGTGACGTTATACATTTCTTTTAAATTGCTCGTTTTGAACCGTGTTTGTAACCTTTGTATTGTTTCGTTTTAGTGTAAATATATTTGTTATGATTCTTCAAGAGTTGTTTTTAAYCAGCACGCGCTGTAAAATTAATCTGTTTTGAATTTGATTAGTCACTCGAGCTAATGCTAGCTAGCCTTCACGCTAGCAGCGGAGYTCATCTGCTGAGGTTAGCTTCAGATTTGTGTTGTAGTTTAATGGCAGCGGATATTTTAAAGGTGTTTGTGATGTTTGTGTGCCGCAGAACAGCCGAGGACTCCGCTCGCAGCTGCAGGACAGCGTCCCGGTGTCCGGGCTGTGTCCGCAGGGAGCCTACGGAGTGCAGGACTCCCTGCGCAGCGGGTGAGACGGGATGGCCCGAAAAACACGACTCATGTTAACAGTTTTAATATCTCGTTTTTAATGTGTGTCAAAAATAGATGTGATAACTCTTAAATCCAGGTTTTATTCTGTCTCCCAACAGGTTCACCAGTGTAAAGAATGAACTTCTTCCCAGCCACCCGCTGGAGCTGTCAGAAAAAAATGTAAGTTGTATTTAATTACATTTTTATCTAAGCTAGCTTGCATAAAAGTGTTTTTATTATTCTTATTATTTTACTCACGGGGCAAAACTGGAGCATCCTCACCAAAAAAGTGCAGATAACCAATTTATTAAGGTTCTCACGACTGCTTTTATTTTGAAGGCCTAACTTCCTGTGTGTGTTTCTGCGCTCTGCAGTTCCAGCTCAACCAGGACAAGATGAATTTCTCCACACTGAGRAACATCCAGGGTCTTCACGCTCCTCTCAAACTGCAGATGGAGTTCAGAGCAGCGAGACAGGTAACTAAGAGCTCCGCCCACCGTCACGACCTCGCCTCACTTCCTGTTTACGCTTCCTGTTCACACCGATGTCCGCCGTCTTCCCAGGTCCAGCGTCTGCCTTTCTTACGGAGTTCCAACTTGGCTCTTGACACGCTGCGAGGGAGCGACGAGTCCATCGGCTTCGAGGACATCCTCAACGGTGAGCTGTGTTGTTTTTACGTTAATCTTTTCTCCAGTTACGTGAGCTTTTATTGAAACTGTTTCTCCTTTAGCTCCAGTTGCCTGTAGACTTTCTTCACTTTGTTGAAGGATGTAAATGTAACGGTTTGAATGAGTCTAACCCCTCGGCTCTGTCTCCACAGATCCGTCTCAGAGTGAGGTGATGGGTGAACCACACATGATGGTGGAGTACAAGCTGGGACTGTTGTGAATGTAAACATGAATATTTCTTATTCCTGTGTTTATTTGATGCTTGGTTTAATAAACAGATGTTAGAAACTCGCTTTTTGAAGAGTTATTGACTGTAAAAAAATAAACAAACAGATCAGAATGAGTCTAATGTGTGATGGAACTGGGTTGATATTTCTTATAAAGTTCAAAACTTTTCTTATGATGTGATTTTATTCCTCTGCTTATTGAGACTCAGTTAACAGGAATAAAAACTAAACATTGTTTTATAAC